GCTACTGCAAACTTCCCAACACCTGATCTTCATTCTGTCTTCTCAAAACCATGACATGTATGCCATCCAGATGGACCTCGACAGGCTTGAGAGGTGGGCCTGTGAGAACCTCATGAAGTTCAACAAGGCCAATTGCAATGTCCTTCACGCGGGTCAGGGCAATCCCAAGCACAAGTCCAGGCTGGGCAGAGAATGGATTGAGAGCAGCCCTGAGGAAAAGGACTTGGGAGTGCTGGTGGATGAGAAGCTCACCATGAGCTGGCACCGTGTGCTGGCAGCCCAGAAAGCCAACCGTGTCCTGGGCTGCACCCAAAGCAGCGTGGGCAGCAGGTCGAGAGAGGGGATTCTGCCCCTCTGCTCTCCTCTCGGGAGACCCCACCTGGAATACTGCGTTCAGCTCTGGAGTCCCCAGCACAAGAAGGACATGGAGCTGCTGGAGTGGGTCCAAAGGAGGCCACGAAGATGATGCGGGGGCTGGAGCACCTCTGCTATGGAGACAGGCTGAGAGAGTTGGGGCTGTTCAGCCTGGAGAAGAGAAGGCTCTGGGGGGATCTTACAGCAGCCTTCCAGTACCTAAAGGGGGCCTACAGGAAACCTGGAGAAGGGTTTTTTACAAGGGTGTGTAGTGATAGGACAAGGGACAATGGCTTTAAGCTGAAAGAGGGCAGATTTAGATTAGATCTAAGGAAGAAATTTTTCACTCAGAGGGTGGTGAGGCACTGGCACAGGTTGCCCAGAGAAGCTGTGGCTGCCCCATCCCTGGAAGTGTTCAAGGCCAGGTTGGATGAGGCTTTGGGCAACCTGGTGTAGTGGAAGGTGTCCCTGCCCATGGCAGGGGGCTTGGAACTAGATGGTCTTTAAGGTCCCTTCCAACCCAAACCATTCTGTGATTCTATGATTCTATGTTTTTAGGTAACGGCTGTAAAACTCTCACAGGCTGCAAACAAAGCTGATGTCCTGTATGCAATCAGCTGAAATGTCAAGTTCATATATACATCTCTCTATATTTTCACATATACATGTAGCTTTTTAGCTTTTAACTAAACCCAGCCTTTAACCTACCAGTGTTGTGTTTTGCAGAGCTTCTGTTTCATAGAACAGATAGAACCCCAGATAGTAAAGTGATAAAGGTTTGATTTGGATCAAGGCATAAAACCTGCAGACAGAACATTCCCCTTTTCAGGATCTGCATCCTTTACCATTCCCAGGCTGTGCAGGAAGACCCCTGGCTTGCAGCAGAAACCAGGAGTTGCTACTAGTAGCAGTAAGAGCTGAACGCCAAGCGTGTTGTAAACGTGGCGAAGGGACCAAACCACTGACAGAAGCACCATGACAAAGTTTCTCATTTACACCACGATTGCAGCAACTCAAACGATCCGTCAAGCACGGACAACCCTGGAGGGGTCCCTAGGGAGGCATTTCAGTGCTGTAGCATTAGGAAACATCCCAAAATCAGCGTACACTCAAAGTATGCGGAAGTGGCAGATGTCAAATCCAAGAGCTGAGCACACTACTAAAATTAACAGGAACAAAATTCCCTGCTATTTTCAAAGCTAAAACTGTCTCATCTAACCTAATAATTCATTGGCAACAAATAGCAGTAAAAATGCTCTCTCTCTCAGCTCTGTTCCCTGTACAATTATGCATTTTGGACTTGCTCACCCAAATCACATTCTCATCTCCACACATCAGAGAGGGCTCCCAACAATTTATATCATGCAGAGTAAGTTATTACTCATGACCTAGGTCGCAGAAATACTTCTCCTTCCAAATTTTTCCCTGTTTAACATTTTAGTAAAAAAAAACTTTTAGCTTTAAAACTACAACTACTACACAGAGAAAGCAAAAAGTTTACCCTTGGAGATTCACTTAGCTGTAAAATAAAATGAGGAGACACGTGCAATCTCAGACCTGCTGATCTAATTGAGAAGACGACCAGATCAGGCCCAGAGAGGCATGGACAACCCAGCTCAATTTAACAGGAGAAACAAAACAAAAGAAAGAGATAAAATGGAAAGGAAAAACATGACAAGATAGCAAAGCACAACAAATGTCAAAGTTCTGTTTGAGCATAAGGGATAAAGATGTCAGACACCAGTTCTAATCTGAAGAGCATAACATTTGTAATCCTTCAGAGCAAGTGCAGATTAGGAAGAAAGCAGGTGAAGATGACTACTGTGAATTTGGAGAGGTGTGAAAAGTTTGTTCTTTGTTTAAATCTTTTTAGAAGGGAGGACTCTTCTATCAAGAAAGCAAAAATTCAAAGCTCCTGAACAACCAGAAGAGACTGGGTAAGCCAATTCCTTTTTACTTCCTCAGATGCACAGGACTGGAAAGAGAGCAAGAAGAGGAACGTAGTCTTCCTCCCAAGGACTTGGAAGATACATCAAGTCTACTCTCTAGAAATGCCATAATACAAGCTGCAGAAGCCTTTGTAAGTAGCAGAGTGTAAATCCATAGACAATTTTCTAGAGATACACAACAACAAAGGTATTAACAGGAAAAGCACCAGCTCATCTGTCAAGCAGAGCCCTGTGCTGTCTAGAGGACGAGCTCACACACACGCACAAGGCCAAGGAAGATAAATTGTGTACGTGACAGTAGGGGTCAACAACAGGCGTGAGAAACACGACGTGTTTGCACGAGGCCAGGAAGCAATGAGTCGTTTGCCTCATTTGGCTGTGACAACCCTGTTTCTCAGACCGTCACATCTGAACGAGGCACGCACACTGTTTTCTACAGCGGGGTCCGAACATCTGATGTTCTGGGGCAAAAACACTTTTTCTAACACACACTTCTTACCTCGTGACATGGCCTGAACAGACCACAGGAACTATGACCCTCCCCATTACACACACGAAGAGTCAAACACAAGTTTATCAGCCTGAAGGGTGCAGAGAGACCCATAAAAGAAGGAGGTGTCTTGAGGTCACCCACATGACCTCTGCTTTCCTACCGTTAGCCACAACACGAGACCTCAGCACTCCAAAGGCTCACACAAAGCACTCGAGGGGCAAAGACGAAAGCAGCTGAATATCAAGTTCCCAGTGCTGAGGAAGCTGCTGTCAGATTTCTGTCGAAGCAGATTAACAGCAACACCACGTGCTGAAGAGCAAAACAGCTTCACTGTACGCCCACTCTCCCTGCAAAACCTCCAGCAACTGCCAGCTCCGCAACCCGCGCTGCCTCCGCACACACGGGAGACTCCATCTGAGCACGGCAAACGCGATACAGCCCGCACCCCACGCCGCCTGCACGGACTGCCACCAGACTGAAACACAATTTATAACACCAGCCTCCATAATAAAGCAGATCCTGCTGGGAACACATGATTCTCAGAGTGGGATTAAGCTCCCTACTCCACTGCGCAGTCCTTTGGGTGACCCTGGACAAGTAACTTGATCTTCATAAGAACCAGGACTAATACCTTTGCTGAGGTAATGGGAATTTGAGTTTGCTGATATACCTGAAGGATGACATTTACAACCTCAGTCCTGAAAACCTAGGGAATTTTAACTTCTGTCACGTTAAAAAATGGAAAGCAAATAAAACTAAATCACTTGAAAAATAAACCCATCAAGCCTTGGCCTTCGGGCACTCTGCTAACGAGCTTACAAAGGATTTGTCTAGAGGCAGCCTTCCTTTATTAGCAGCCAATCTACCAACGGGCATCTGGCCTTGGGTTTATCCTGCTAATACAGGCAGCAGGAGCGTGGAGAGGTGTGCACACAGCAAGGACTCCCAGTATCCTCACAGCAAGTACTGGTCTCTTATTTGAACCCAGGATGCACTCAGAGAGCAAAGCCAACGGCCAGAAAAGCTTCCCTATCAAAACCATCAGCCCCAGACTGGCCGGGGCACTTCTACAGCACGTCACTGGCTTAGCTGTTAGTGGACACAGCAAACTTGGATGAGACTGGAAAGAGAAAGGGGGGGGAGGGCGGGAAACTGGCAGGGTGGAGCCCAACTGTCTAAAAGAAAGTGTTTATTTTGATAATTAGAGACCATCAAAGTGCTGCTCTCAGCAGAGGAACTGCTGCTACTGTCAGGGTCCATTATTCCCATTTAGGGCCAAACAAAGAATCTCTCCCCCAGTTTTAACAACAGAAAGAGACTGGAGACTTTTTGGGACAAAACAAATCTTATGGCACTTATTTCCCAGGAATCCAGAAGAGGCAACATTGTCAAAAGGAAAGCAGAGTATTATGTCAGGCTCTCCCTTCCCTTCATGGGAACGACTTCAGCTACCTAAAATGGCTATAGCTTTCCATCTTCATCCTTGATTCTGAATAGACCAAAAAAACCCTGGTGTCCCTATTCAGCAGGGAAGAGGGACAACGAAGAAGACAGGAGACTAAAAGCAGCCAATCCTAAGTCTCAGGGATCCCTGGAGTAGACTGAAACACCCAACAGATTGCAAAACAAAGCCTAGCAAGAGTCTATAAGCAGGCATCCCAGAAAAATGCCTAACTGCTCAGTGCTGCCCTTGAAATGCAAACAGAAAACCTTTCAGAAGGATATTTGACTTAGGCAGTGAAGAGCAGTGACAAAGTCCACGACATCACAAACGCCTTTAAACTCTACCTAAGGAAGCTGCCACGGCCACATCAGCTTTCTGCATCACCAGCAAGTGAGCTTCAATTACAGCCCTTAAGCCCCTGGTGGCAATCACAGAATTTGGAGAGAGATCTCCAAACCTTTCAATTTTTTCCTTTCTTGTGAAAGAATAATTACAGAAGGTCGGGGTTTGTTGTTTTTTTTTTTTTTCCCCCCTCTAATGACTAAACTGCCCCTCTTAAAATACTGAGATGTTGATTCTTATTTTTCATGGAAAACTGAAGAAAGGACAAAAAGATAATCAGTGCTAAATCTGTTCCTGCAATGTACCCATAAGGTTGCCACAAAGACACGCGAGCCAAAACCGCAGTCCCCCACCTCCCACTGCCCTGAGCCTGCAGCCCTTAGCAGCTGGAGGAGTAAAAGTGCTGAGTATTACTCACTGCCATGACGAGCTCAAAGGGATATTTGTAGACTCGAACTGGGGACTGGTATTTCTGCACCATTTTTACTACACACCTGTAATAGAAAGATATTGGCAGATTTTAGATCCCTTACACCAAACACCACAACACATTCTAGTAATTTTCACAAACAGACCTTACTAGAAGCCTTAACTTTCTCACGAACAGGGAGGAGGAGACACATTAGGTAGAACATCTTGCCCAGCATCACCCAGCAAGTCAGTGGCAGAACAAAAGGCAGGTCTCTGCAGTCCCAATCCAGCGCTGCGTCCAGCACACCGTAGCGTCCTTTGCCACTTCCCAACACTACTGCAGTAAGTTCAACTTAGACCTCCAAAGCTCATCATAATTTAAGCACAAAACAAACGTAAAGCCAGAATCAATTGTCCTCTGGAGAAGGAGCCTCTCTTAGGAGCCTTGCAAAGCTTAAATGGAGAATCTCCTCCCCCATCCCTCTTTTCTGCACTACATCTGTAATCATTACACAAAAAGCCCGCACGGCTTTTCGTATCTCGGTGTTTTAAGTGCTTTTCTGCACAAAGCAGCAGTCAGCTGTTTTAACTCCCTAAAAGAAAGGAAAAGGAAACAGCAGGCTTATAGAACACGCCTGACACTAAGCTAGCAATCACATCCCACTGACTGGATGCCCACTGCTTCCAGCTGAACTAAGGAAATAACTGCATGCAATGGGAACAATTCCCTTCTCAGCACTTCGTTTCTCCGAGCCACCTCTCACTGTTCTCATCAGGATTCCTCCCTCAGACTCTCTTGCTGGGCTTTTAACCCTCAGATATACATCAATAACCAGCATCTCAAGAAAGCACATAAACTGGTAAAACCAAAAAGTTATTGGACTGCTTTCTGCAATCCCTCTAGGTACCTTTATATCGCTCCCATGAACACCACAAACACAAAACACTGGCTGGCTGGTTGGAGATGCTGTGCTGATTCCACCCCACTGGAATTCCACTGCTGAGCAGACACAGCCCTCGGCAGCGTAGTGCTGAACTCGACAGTTGGAGCATTAAGACAACTTATCCCTGACATTTTAAGCCCCAAAACAGAGGCGAAACATGAATTAAAAGGCAAGTGGCAATAGATTCTCCCTCAAGAAGACTGCTGCAAAACACCATTACACAGTAAAATCTAAGCAAGGGAGAGGGGGGCAAAGACTTTTAAAAGTTTGAGTACCTGAGAACGGGGAATATTTGTAGAAGCACCTCACAATTGGACAGCTACTCTGCAGAGGATCATGCTACTCAAGGAGCATTATTCAGGACTTGCTGGATATCTAGGAGTCTTACTGGCACTAAAAGCCAGCCCACATAGAACAAGTAAACGCAGAGAGAACGCATCAGCGGAGCATCCAGCTCCAACTGGAGCGAGCGGAGCAGGGGCAAGCCAACAGCCAGGAAGCCCAGGCTGCTCTCACGTATCAGACACCCGAGCCAGGAGGCACAGGGCACCTCGTAACGCAACGCTGTAATATGATTACGCAAGCGCTGTGCCGGGGCTGTGTGGGTCCTTCCGAGTGGGTGCAAATATAGCAAGAGAAGCCTCGACAAACGTATTTAGCTGTGATCCTGCTCTGACCTCACCTGCTAAACCAGGAATTTCTGCCTCTCTGCAGGAGAGGGTCGGCGACCTCCACAGGAGGAAGTCTCAGGACAGACCAGTGAGTCTAGAATCACCCACAGACCAGAAACAAAGTCACCAGCAACACAACAACAGGATGGCACAAGAGTAGTTCAACAGCCTTAACAATGCTGCTTGGACAGACTCGACTGCCACAGGCTTACTGCCCCGTGCTTCTCTGGTTGAGGGAAATTTGAGAAAAAGAGTCAGAGACTGTTATATCCATGGGAAGCTGTGGAAGGAGGACAGCTGCTAACTCACACCTGCCCCAGAAACCTTTCATACCTTGGGGAAAGCGCAGTGGCAGACCTTCTATGCCCTCTCCTCAAAACAGAGCTGCGAGACAGTCATTCTGCTTCTCAAAGCAAGAGGGACTCCAGCTATAACTCCTGAAAAAAGAAAAGAAAAAAAAAAATCAGGGAAGGCAGTGAAACACAGCTACTCAGTGCACACGGATACAGATGGATGATTAGCACTGATGACGAGGTAAGATCTTCCAGGTGTTAATGCTGGGCAGCTGGGCCATATTAGCCAGACGTGCATCCTCAGAGGGCTTTAGAACCAAAAAGACAGACATGTTTTCAGTCATCCCATGTATTCCACTTCAACTACAGACACACACTTTCGAGCACTTTGTAAAGAAAACCAGAAGGAAACTACACAACTACAGAACATGCCTGCTCCTTAAAAATTCATCATACCACTCCAGCCTCTACCATGGCCCAGGCCACCTGCTCTACTTGGGTTTTACATCTGGCTAAAAGCACGTATCAGGACACAGAGCTCGGGTGAAGAGCACTGACTCACTAAACTGCAGCTTGATCACTCTGAAACCCCAGTCCTCAGCTAGAAGCAGACCTGTAGCCATTCAGTGGGTAGCACCAGGGAAGAGCATAATTTCAGCCAGCCAAGCCCAGCACACTCTGTAAAAATTCAGGGAGGTTGGAGCTTTCAATGCACTGAGGCAACATATCTAGTTAATAATCACTTTGAGCACATCAATTAGACATTAAAAGTGCTTTAATTATTGCACACCTGAACACAGAAGACAGCAGCACTACCACATTGGAGAAAGCATCCCGTGACACACTGACGAGCAGTGCCAACAGCACAGAGCCTCGACAGCCTGCAGCTCCCTGCAGAGTCCAGCTGGCCCTTTTGCTACAACCCACACAGCAATCCACAGAGGAACCAAACCCCAGAAGGCAGAGAGTTAATTATAAGCTTGAGATACACCAGCTGGCACTGTACCAGGGGAAGGAGGGCATGGAAGGGGGCACGAAATGGAAGGATACGGACCCCTGATGGCACAGGCATTTCCCTGCTGTAACTTCGGAAGCGTTTTAGAGAAATGGCAAATTGAAAGAGGGGAGATTTTGATTAGATATAAGGAAGAAATTTTTCACTGTGAGGGTGGTGAGGCACCGGAACAGGTTGCCCAGAGAAGTTGTGGCTGCCCCATCCCTGGAAGTGTTCAAGGCCAGGTTGGATGAGGCTTTGAGCAACCTGGTGTAGGTGGAGGGTGTCCCTGCCCATGGCAGGGGGGTTGGAACTGGATGATCTTTGAGGTCCCTTCCGACCCAAACCATTCTGTGATTCTATGATTCTAATTCCTAACGTGAAGTGGCACACGCACAGCACGCAAAGCTACCGCTACGTATCAGCCCAGCTTGAAGACCGTGAGGGCTCCCATGAGGAATGCGCATCACTACACACACAGCAAAGGGAAGAGAGACAGTGATAGCAACTATAGGTTTCCATTTTATTTAGAATCATCCACTACATACCTGAGGGACTTTCCATATGCTTAACTTTTATTCTGCCATTTGTGGGAGAGGCTTACTTGATAGAATACAGCCAGATGGCTGGAAATCAGAAATTAAGCTTATAAATTAAATATACATAAAGCCCTGAATCAAAGCCCCTAACCCCTGCTTCTCATCCAGGCTAGTGGGAACTCATTCAGCTCTTTCCACATTAGAGCTGTCTGTCAGATAGTGAAACTCGGCAGCAAGTGACTTTATTAACTTCTCCCACCTGTGGTGGTTTCTTTTCAGCTGGAAAAAAAAACAACCAAGCAATTTTTTGGTTTTGTTTTTGACAAAGAATTGCTGAAAGTAGCACAATTCCAGACTTCCTCAAATACTATTGTAACATGTGAAAGCCAACTGCGGCACCCAGCTGAGCTGATATTTCCAGTTAGAAAATGGGGGCCTCTGTAGTCCTTCCCCTTCTCGAGTAAAGTGGAGACAAAGGTGTGTGACATTTCCTCTGCCTGAAACGCCTTTCACTTAAGTAGATGTTGACACAGCAGCTGATGCTTTACACACATAATAAGATGGTATCAAGCTGTAGGATATTTATTAGAGCTTCTTCCCATAAGAACTTGAGAACAAGTCTTTCTTAGCTTAATATAAGGAAGCCTCAAAGTGGAACAGCACCAGCATAAGCCTTTACAGTCTTTTAGGAGCAGACATCCCCAGCAGGACTTCATCTTACTCCCTGCGAAGCACCTAGGGTGCAGTGGTGAAGCAGCACGGAGGGCTGCAGGCCAACACACTGCTGTGGAGCCTGGCCACCACTCTGTACACCTTGCAGAGATGCCTGGAGTCCTGTTGCGGATTATCATCAACGAAAAGCAACACAAACGTTCAGACAACAACATTGTTTACAACACAACAAGGAGCAGCCTCTTTGGCTGAGAGGGGAAGAAGAAAAAGGAGCAGTGTACAGCGTTCTGCTCTCAAATCCTTGTAAAAGCTAGCGTTTTCTTCCATGTACGTATCAAAATAAGCTTCATGCCTAATACTTCCACACCTTCATCTCATAAGTTAACTTTCTCACCAAAGAACCACCACCGACCTTTTACACACAGCAACACACTAAATCCTTAGTATTTACCAAACTGCAGCAGCAGTTAAGCTTTCTTGAAGGAAAGCTCCTCATTCCTCACCCTTGCTACTCCATCGGAAGCCACACCGCGCCACTTTATCCGCCAACACTACAGTCGATAGCTCAACACTCAAGCTCAGTTTAAGAACGGGGACGTGCTCCAGCCTAAGGTGTAAAACAAGAGCAGGTCCAGCCAGCAGGTGCCTCGACAGCGCAGCAAAGCCCCAGCACAGAACTGTTCCAGCTTGCCCAGAGTAACATCCACAATCACACTTGCTGGGAGCGCAGGGCACGCTGGACGCGGGCGCACTCATCAGCCCAGTGCCACCAGCACAACCCCCTTCTCACTGCCCACAAGCCGATTTTACTACTTGGAGGAGTTAAGCCAAGTCACCCGGAGAGCAGCACACGCTTGGTTTAACCCTGCCCTAAAGCCAGCGGGGTTTTACACAGAAGCTGACCCAAATACATCAATACCTTTACTAGCAACTTACCGGCGCCAGCCTCGGAGCTTA